TAAAGCTTATCAATTCTCTGAAGCCAAGCCCCCCGTCAGATTTGTGTTGACACATGAACTTCCAATTCTTCCAGTGAATACCTTTACCGTCACTTTTAGACCACCAATATTGAGCAATAATGCCTTCGATTTCACGACAAAGGCCGACAGGCAACCGGAACACACTCATAGAGTACGATGGAATTGCCTGACACACTGCTTTAATAAGTACTTCTTTTCCAGCCTGGGACAGAAGCTTGCCTTGCCAACCATTCACCTTATTCCACACACGATCCTTAACAGTACGAAATAATTTCTTCTTATCTTTCCCGACGATGGTAGGAAGGCCCAAGTAACGTTCATGACACGGAACAATAGGCACAGACAGCAAATCACGAATAACTTCCTGTGACACCAGTGGGGTGGACGGACTAAAACATAGGGCAGACTTCTCGAGATTGATCTTCTGTCCAGAAGCCACCACATACACACCAAAAATACGCTTCAACTCTAGAGCCTCATCTGTCACAGCATTACAAAACAATAAACTGTCATCGGCGAAAAATAGATGATTAATGGAAGGAGCAGAAGGAGCAATAGAGACACCATGTAGCATAAAGTCACGCTCCGCCTGTTGAAGTAAAGCAGAAAAACCTTCAGCCACAATGAGAAAGAGATACGGTGAAATTGGATCACCTTGCCGTAGCCCACGAGAGGGAATAATACGCCCAAAAAGGTGCCCCTGGATTAATAACGAATAAGAGACAGTAGTCACACATCCCATAATTAAATTGATAAACCGATGTGGAAAACCCATAGTTTGCATCATCTTTTCCAAAAAAATCCATTCAACGCGGTCGTATGCCTTGGCCATATCTAGCTTCAGAATCAATTTCTTTTTACCTGTTTTTCCCCGTCTCTTCAGACAGTGGATAGTTTCAAATGCAGCTAGGACATTATCAAGGATCATTCTTCTTGGAATAAAAGCACTTTGGAACTCAGAGATAACATCAAGTAAAACCCTTTTAAGTCTATTGGCAAGGGTTTTAGAGATAAGCTTATAGATGACATTGCATAAACTGATAGGACAATACTCTGAGACTCGAGTGGGAGAACAGACCTTTGGGATTAGAGCCACCAAAGTATGGTTAAAATCATTGACGCCATCACTACCATTTAACACCTTCAAACACAATGCACTAACATCCTGACCCACAATGTCCCAATATCGTTGATAAAAAAGAGCAAGCATCCCGTTCGGACCCGGAGCTTTCGACGGACCAATAGATTTAAGAGCTACTTTGATTTCAGATATCGAATATGGGAGAAGCAGACTTTGATAAGAGCGGGAGGACACACGCGCCTTAATAGCAGAGAAAATTTCCCCATCAGGGACGACACTATTTGTCTTAAAAAGGTTGGTATAAAACTCAACAAAGACTCCACCCATTTGATCATAGTCCCTCTGCCACCGATTTTGGTTATCCAATATCCCAACAAGTGCATTTGTCTTCTTACGGCTTGTAGCTTGCTTATGAAAAAGAGACGTGTTACGGTCCCCATGACGAAGCCAATTCACCCGCGATCGTTGTTGCCAGTAGATTTCTTCCTGTTCGAGACACTTATTAAGCTCAGTCTCAACCAGTATATGGGATTGTAGAGTCTGTGTCGACGGTGGTTCAGATTGGAGATTTCTCAGCCTAACCCGCAACTCCTTAATTTTCTGTGGTACCTGACGAAACTTGCAGGCACTCCATCACGTCAAGCTGTTTGCACAGTTAGCAATGTTGTGAATGGGTGAAACCGCATTTTTCCAAGAGTGACGAACAACCTCATTACATTCATCTTCCGTAGTCCATGCCTCCTCAAATTGAAAACGACGTCGACCTCTAGGAAGTCTAAGAGTGCCAACTTGTGGATTTTCATATGCAACCAGGATTGGTTGGTTATCAGAAGAGAAGGCAACTAAATGGTGAGAGGTGAAATTTCCCCATTGTTGCAGTAGTGATAAATTTCCAAAACCTCTATCCAAACGTGCTTGCACATTAGCTGCATCCTTCCGTTTATTACTCCACGTAAATTTATAACCTATGAAATCAAACTGAAATAATCCACAATCTGAAATAGCCTGTTTAAAATCCTCCATGAGCGTATCACGTTTGAGACGATCCCCACTCTTCTCATGGTGTTCCATTATCTCATTAAAATCTCCACAACAGAGCCAGGGCCCAGAATCCACCCTACTCAAACGCCGCAGCAATTCCCATGAGTGATGGCGCTGGGTATGATCAGGATGACCATAAAACCCAGTTACTCTAATAGATCCAGAGTCGGACAAAGTAATTCGAACATCGATGTGTCCCGGAGATGAGGATAACAGATCAACTTGTAAATCGGACTGCCATAGTAAACATAACCCCCCTGAAAACCCAAGGCGGGGCACACACACCACCCCACCAACACCTAACCTTGTATGTAATTTTCCCATCTGCACCACAGTCATACGCGTTTCAGTTAAGAAAATCACATTTGGCCTCTTATCCTGAAGAAAACTCTTCAGGTCACGGAACGTTCGTCGGTTGCCAAGCCCCCGAACGTTCCAACTGAACACTAACATTGAGACCGGGGAGACCCCTCATGGCTGGTCTCCTCCGCTTGTTTAGTAGTTGTAGTAAAGCATAATCGTCGTTTTCCGGGGACGTCACACCTTCCATGCTCACAGGATCTCTCCTCAAGAGGAGCCTCAACCAGACGCTTTCGTTTAGAAGAAGGCGCCGCGACCCCCTGCACACCCAGGCTAGTCGTGACAGCCCCCACACGCCTTGGCCTTCCCCGTCCACGTCCCTTCACCTTTCCTGCCGTCCGTTCAATGATAGGCATAAAGTTAAAAAGGTCCCCATTAAGGGTAATATATGCATTTGTTTCATCACCAGTGGGGGCACCAGGTAGAACACTCCCAACCGGATCAACGTCCGCCTCCACATGACAAGTCTGGTTAAGGTCCAAAGTCAGCGACATACTAATCCCCTCTGGCAACTGTGGAGCCATCAAGATCGTAGGCATGTCTTCTGGGGGACCCACCTCCAGAGAGACCAACTAACTTGCAAGGCAGGTTCCAGCTTCAAACTCCGGAGAAGTAGACAAAACGGATGGGATGACCACCTCTAGCAGGCCTAGGCTCGCACCTCCAACAACCATGTACTCCTTACCACTTTGCCTCGACTCATCCGTAGTACGATAACAAACATTGGTGCCTATCCCAGGACTACGTGATAGAGCCCCTCGTCGCTGACGATGTTTGTATGGTGAAGAGGCCGTATTCGTAGCCTTATCTGATTCGTGGCGAGAAATCAGCCAAGATTGGCTACCAGAGCTCGTGCGCCCCCCATTCTCATCTCGCCTCCAGGACCCATCCCCATTATTCTATTTACCAATACTTGACGAAACATTTTGCCGAAGACCCAATCGGTTTGCCCCACAAATTGATAACTCCTTCAAAGCCCTCAAAGGCAGAGACAAAATGGGACAAACCCTCAGGATTAAGCTTCCCATACGAGGCCTCATGTTTCTTCGCACATACTTGTGTAGCATGACCCAAAACACCACAAGCAAAACAGTACTACGGTAAATACTCATAGCGAAAGTCTATAATCTTCTCCCCTACTTCCGGGAAGGTAACATGAGTCCTTCTCATCAAAGGAAGGCGTATATCTAAGCGAACCCGTACCCAAATGAAGCGACCTACACAGTCTTGACCATCCCTGTTATCCACCTGTAGGACCTCCCCGACCGTCGACCCAATAGCAGAGGCAACCGCAACAGTCATACAGAAACCTGGGACCCCATGTATCTGGACCCAAAAGGTACCCTGAGTTAACGGCACCGTATGGATACAATCCTCATCAAACACAGTAGCCAATACAACCAAAGACCGCCGGAATGTCCAGGGTTCCATATCAAGGACCCGTTGATAATCTCGATCACTTACAAAACGAACCCAACGGGTCCTTGATCGAAACCTCATCAGAGCCTCTCCACAAACTAGTGAAGGTCTTAATAAAATTGTCACGATGAACCTCTTGATGCGAGATGACTTTAGCCACCAGACTATATGGGAAACCAACAAAACGGTCTAAAACTGCAGAACTATCGATCACAACCCCAATTCTTTCCTAATCAAACAGATCCAACTGTCGCTCAAAAGAACTCTCAAAATCCTCAAGGGCCATATCGATCCCAAGAGTCAGGACACCCACCACAGATCACGCAAACCGTGTAACCCAATCCAAAGCAAACCCTATAAACCAAAGAAAATTGTTCGCAGAGACCTAGGGCACAAGAAGCCGTACAAACCCCAGCCCACATGCACCACAATCAGAACCCTAAACACATGCACCGTTGGGACCAACCAAGGACCAAGAGAAGAGACAAAACACGTGATCGGAGATGACCAATAGAGAAATCAAGGGAAAACAGACGAAAAACAAAGGCTGCCGCAACGAAAACCTTGCAAAAACCCTAAACCCTAAAAGGCTCTCCTCGCAGACGAGAGAGCAACCCGACCATACCAGCGGACAGGTGGCAACTTTTACCCCAGCGGATCACATGCAAAATCTGAAAAGCGAACCGAACTACAAAAATGTATTTTATGTATTTAGCACTCATATATTTTTAAAAATAGTGAGTATTAAGAATCTGTCAAGCATTTGGGAGAGTTTTTATTTATTTATTAAAATACGATAGAATTTTATTAGATCAATAAAAATCAAGAGTACAAAAGGACACATACCGTAAATGAAGCCAAGATGTGGTGGAAATGACCATATAAGAGGAAAGCCAAGATGTGGTGATGAGACGAATTTCAGTAAACAATACATACACCCAAACAATTTCCGAGCAGTTTCTAATTTTATATTTTACTTTAAAAAGAGCACCGATTAAGTAAAGTGGGAGCCAAAGGGCAACAAATTGAGACCATGGATGTCAACTGGGTGATGAAGGAAGCAATTGCAACCAAAGACGGCCAAACTCAAAAAGTGTCCTTTTCAAAGCCCTAAAAGCCACTTGGCCGCCCCCTGCCTTCAAGAGCCCAATTCCAAATCAAACTCAAACACTAATAAAAACGGCAACAGAAACACAATAAATAAACACAATTTTCAATCACCCTTCCACTCTGAATCGTTCTTTTTGTGCCATGGCTCTTGTCTGTAAGCTTCAATCTCTGTCTTCCTCTTTATCTTCGACCCATTTCAGAAAACCCAACTCCATAAACCCACAACCCATTTGTTCTTTACACTTCAACTCCTCTTCTAATTCTTCACCTTTTACAGAGAAGACTTCTATTGAGAGGTACCAGAGAGACCAATGGCTGTACAAGAACCAATTGGATCAAGCCACTCTATGCTCTGTCCCGCCAGATTTTGATTCTATAAGGCAAAATGACATTGCTTTGCAGCTACCGGAGCTGAGAAAGCTGCTTCAGGTGCTGAGAGAGAAGAGAGAAAGCGAAGGAGGGTGTGGCAGCGGCAAGTGTGGGCCTGGAAATGTGTTCTTGGTCGGGACAGGGCCTGGGGACCCTGAGCTCCTGACATTGAAGGCTTATAGAGTTATTCAGAATGCTGATCTATTGCTGTATGATAGGTTGGTGTCCAATGATGTGTTGGAATTGGTTGGCACTGGTGCTAGACTTCTCTATGTGGGCAAGACTGCTGGGTACCATAGCAGAACCCAGGTAAAGTACTATTCTTTATCAGCATTTCTTGTATTAGCTGAAACAAACTTTCAAATTTTATTTTGATTTTCAATTGAGTTTCTGATATGGGTTCTCTCTTACTATAAATTTGAAATCTTTAGGCAATTTGGTGAATTGGGTATTTGGGTTTGTGTTAATTTGTATCTGGGTTAGTGAAGTGAATTGGGGCTTTACTTTGGGGTCTTGGGAAAGAGCTGAATCGTTTTTTCCCCCTTTCAGGAGGAGATACATGAATTGCTACTGAGTTTTGCTGAAGCTGGAGCTAATGTTGTGAGACTAAAAGGAGGGGATCCACTGGTGAGTTCCTACATTGAAGTATGACAGTTATTTACTTGTGGTATCGTGGTCTGTCTTGTCAAATTTGTAGTGAAACGTATTGTTTGTCTTTAGGTGTTTGGTAGGGGTGGGGAGGAGATGGATTTTCTGCGACAGCAAGGAATTGAAGTCAATGTTATTCCAGGTACAATGATAGATTAGTCTGGTAAACGGTCTTAATTAGTGGAGACTTTTTAGGATAATATATGAATGCCTCAGGAACATCTTGAGTGGACCCGGCCCGGGAACATGTTTGTATATGATCAATATATTTTTTTAATCTTTCAGGTATTACTGCTGCTTCAGGGATAGCAGCAAAGTTAGGGATTCCATTAACTCATCGTGGTGTCGCAAATAGTGTCAGATTTCTTACCGGGCACTCCAGGAAGGGAGGAACAGACCCTTTATTTGTTGTAGAGAATGCAGCTGACCCTGATTCGACCTTGGTGGTTTATATGGGTTTGTCGACCCTCCCCTCTCTTGCTCAAAAGTTGGTGCATCATGGTTTGCCACCAAATACACCAGCTGTTGCAGTTGAGCGAGGGACCACACCTCAACAGCGCACGGTAAGGATGATCTTCTATTTCTGCATTGGTCTTGCTACTGTGTGTATACCATGTTGCATTCTAGATGTGTTCTGTTTGTTTACCTAAATACCCTGAAATCTGTGCCATTTTTAGGATGTTTCTTGTTAATTGTTAAACTGACAACCTGGGAGAGCTCTGTTAAATGTCTCTATTACCAATTATGTAGATATAACTACAGAAAAAAGGACAGTAAGTATGCCACTCAAAATTTTGAGAAGCTTATCGAGCATCATTACCTAAACCTTGACTACCATTTTTAGGACGTTTCTTTCATATTGATTCAGACATCCTTTCTTCAACTGTGTAAAGGAAGCTTTTCAAATACTGTTTGCTACTGGTTCTTCCTTTTCGACATTTTTTAGACATTCTTGAGATACGGTAAACGTGGAATGTGTTCATTTTTAATTTTTTTTATAATGAGATACATAAGTTGATTAAAACTAGAAAAAAGTGTCATCAATGTAGACAAGTTCACTGAAAAACCGAAACAAAAAGTTAACCATCAGACATTGAAATTACATAACATTATAGGGACCTGAAACAATGAAACCTAAGAAAGGCATTCTGATGTAGTTTTCAGAGGACATTTGATTACATTTAGTTTTGGTTCTTGTTTGTATTTTATTCTGAAAATTGCAATGAAAGTACTAATGAAGCTGTTGAATGGCAATTAAAGTGATAGATTTCCAATATTCTGAAAAATCAGAAGCCATTGTTGTTACTTTTTTTATTTATATTAATGATTCCTATCAAAATTTGTGTTTATAGCATATAGTTTCGCCCTTCGTGAAGAAATTTAACTTGAAATAGATATTAATAAATACTTATATACTAATAATGGCTTGAATCTGAAGTACTGTTATTTGCATATTTGAATTAAGGATAAACTACCTGATTGAGGAAGTAATTATATGTCAAGATCCTTCAAGGGCTGTCAGTGATACTATTACAAATCTTAATGGTCTCCATTATTTACCCTTGGCTGACTGTCATCGACCTGATTGGCCATGGAATATTGATCCTTTGGATTCCTTTACAGATAGGCATTCACATAGAATCGGCTTCCCATTTCCAGTTTTCATATATTTCATGGCAGTCTGATTATTGTTGCATATGCATTTCATACAGGTTTTTGCAGAACTGAAGGATCTTGCTGATGAAATTATATCAGCAGAATTAGTATCACCAACGTTGATCATCATTGGAAAAGTAGTTGCACTTTCACCATCGTGGCCATATTCTTCAAAGGAAGTGTCCTGTCTTGTAGAAGCGATATAGAAGCATTTAAGACATGCAGACAAGTATTTTGCCCATCCAATTTGGCTTCAGATCTCCAGCACACTGCTCATGAATCTTGTTGTCAGACCTTTCAGCTCATGATCCAATCGATTTCAATGGTGGGGGATGATCTTGGTTAAGAGGTAAATTAGCTGCTGCTAGGGATAGAGGCACATCTTCTTTTGAGATTTATCAGAATTGATCAATTTTAGAATGAGCTAATTGTTTATGAGCAGAGCTGGATTGTGCTATAGTGTGTAGGCCGATGCTTCATTCTACCATTCAAATATCTTATGGGGAATGGATTTCATGCACTGGAGTGAGTGATAGAGCTGCGTTAATGCACATTTATTATGAGGTTGCAATGCAACAAATCGGAATACGGTTAGGGCATCAGAGGGCCATCAGATGGAAAATTTTGTAACATGAGCTTTGATTAATTAATTCACATGGTTGAAAGTTTTTGGCACTTCTTTCAGCGATTTCATTTTGCTGTCAAATTTCATATCAACAAAAATATGCGATTGCAAGGTTAGATTAGTTGCATCTTTCTGATGGAACCAATGCTGTAGCGTCAAGTGTTACCAACTAACGTGGCACATGACATAACATTGGTTTATTGGTTGCAAATAAACGAGGTTGAAGTAGGTATACATTTAAATAAATAAAATACTACAGTGGCTAGTAAATAATCCGGTTTCCAATTATGAGGCACTACATGGATAAAAAGAATATCTGATATGTTAATTAATTATGCCTATTTATTTGGCAAATTAATTTAAAATTTTGACACGATTTCGTCCCTCTCGCTCTGGATTTCCCCATTTGATGTCCAAGATGATACATGACGTAATTCTGCTAGGACGTGTTCGGCACCGGCCCTACATGTTTATATGATTATGGGGTAAAAAGACATGTACGGAGCCTAACATTGTCGGGGCATTTGTCCCTAACTGTTTTATTTTCTCCAATTATTTTATCATCTAGGGTGAAGCATGTAAACATGATACGTGTCGCAGACCCATGTACTTCTTTTTGACCAGCCCAATAAAATATTAACTTCAGTTATTTTGTAGTTTGCGCATGAGAGCCGTGAGGAAGGGGAACGACGTACAATCTCTTCAAACAACAATGTGGTCCTGCATGTGCCCAAAAACTTCGCACGGTTTCAATTTTACCCTTTAGAATAAAATTAAAATATGAACACAGGACAATAGTTATTTCAAACATATTTTAACTACAAAGAGGGGAGGATCAAGAACAAAGGCTTGCTTTAAAAATATGAATTATAGGGGTTTGTTTTTGTTCTGTTATTATCCGAATACCAAAAAAAACTTATTGAGTTACGATGAATAAGTATTAATTGTAGGTTTATACATAAATGTGGTGGTATGTATGGTGTGATGTTATGCAGGCATGTTCTCAGTGGCGGAGCCAGGAATTTATGTGTAGGGAGCCAACATATAAACCAAACAAGACATTAAAAAATTTCAATTTTTCAACCTTAACAATGTTTGGAAAAATTAAAGGTAAAAAATAATTGTTTATTCAATTAAGTATCAAAATAACACTCGTCGTTCTTTCATATATCGAAAACCATCTATGATTGAGTCAATGCTAAACTTTTCTGCAATTTCCCTTTCGATATACATAATCAAAGAGTCTGTGAGAAATTCGTCTTCCATCTTGTTACGAAGCCTAGTTCTAAATGATCGTTCTGCAGTTGCTGTAGAAACAAGAAGAGTAAGCACAAGCACAACCACTCTATAAACAAGTGGATATGTCATTGATCTTCTAGTCGTTACCATCCATTGAGATAGATGAGAAATTGTTGACAAGTTTTTGAACTCTGGAAGTCTAACGATGTCACTCTCAAAATGTTGAAGTTGTCTTCTCATGATCTTCAAAGTCTTGCGGATAAAACTTATCTACCAATTGACAAATATCATCAATTCTAAAAGATTTATTCACTTCACG